TCTACAAAAGCTTCATTCATCTTTTTGTAAAATTCTGTTGATGAAAAAAGTTAGAAGTAATCCGCCGTCCGGCATTTCGAGATCGACCTAAATTAACCTGACGACCGTCTCAAATGAAGGTTTTGCTTATGAACAATGACGGTTCGCATCGATTGTGGACCAACATCGAAACTGTAGCATAATAAAGGCAGTGCCTATTTTGATTCTGTCACCTTCGTCGGTCGCGAGGATCACCGTCCGTTAGCATTAGAGTTAGTCGTTAGAAATTGATAAGCAAAAGCTTCATTTGAGACGGTTGTCAGGTTAATTTAGGTCGATCTGCCGGACGCAAACAGTATGACTTCGGTTACCAATGAAAAGCGTTGCAAAAAGTGCAATTTCATTTATTTCTATTTCGTCAAGCCAGTGTAGACTACATACAATGATTATTACAATGTTTACTTACATACTATGCATTAATTCTATTCTGTTTTAGCTTAGTTTGTATTTGCTGCTTGGACATAGTGATGTCAATAGTTCCGCAATGCAAATTATATAGGCGCATCATTCGATTGATTGGGCTATTTTTTGCATAGTTTGTTCTGTACGATGTTTCTGAAAATAAATTCCGTGTTCTAAGATATCGACAAGGTGTGTAAAAATTTAATTGTGCGAGAATTACTGCCGAATCTATGCGCATTGAAATAATGTCGTTGATGAAGAAAAGCATTGCAAATTGGCGGCGCTCCTTAAGTGTTTGTATATTGATGAGCATGCAGCGCGCTTCATAAGATGGTAATGGAAATGCAGTCCAATTCAATTTACGTAAAGCATATAAAAGGAATTGTTTTTGGACAGATTCTATGCGTTCTTCGTGTATGGAAATGTATGGATTCCATACTAGGTGGCAGTATTCCAGAATTGGCCTTACATATGTGGTATATAATAGCTTAATAGTGTATGGGTCTTCGAAATTATGACTGAACCTTTTGATGAAGCCTAGCATTCTGTTTGCTTTACTAATGATAGTATTATAATGTTCTATAAAAGTTAGTTTGGAGTCTAGGATTACACCTAGATCTCTTACAATTTTGCTTTTTTCTACTATTTGGTTGCCTAATGATATTTCAATATGCGGTGTTTCAATTTTTCTGCTAAATGCTATTGCAGTACATTTTTTTACATTCAGTTTAAGTAGACTTTTACTACACCAGGTGTGGAATATATTGATTTCATTCTGGAATTCTTCTGCATCGCTAGAATTACTTAATTCCATAAAGAGCTTCATGTCGTCTGCATATACAAGCAAATTTATTTTTTTTAAGTATGTAGGAAATGTCGTTTATGTACAAAATAAAAAGAAGTGGGCCTAAATGAGAACCCTGGGGTACCCCAGAGGTGACTGAAATTGGTTCTGAAAGTTTATTTTGAAAGCGAACTATTTGTTTACGATGTGTTAGGTATGATTGAAGCCAATTCAAAAGTCCAGGCTCCATTCCTATTTTCTGCAATTTGAGGATTAATAATGGTATGTCGATGCGGTCAAATGCTTTACTGAAGTCGGTGTATAGCGCTTCAACGTGCTTGCCACTGTCCAACGCTTTAATAATGAAAGAAACATATTCTAGAAGATTAGAGGTAGTTGAACGACCTTTAAAAAAGCCGTGTTGTTTACTTGTAATTAGATTTTTCACCTGCTGAAAAATATTTCCGTTTACGATTGATTAAAAAAAAGTTTTGGAATGCAAGAAATAATAGCAATTCCACGATAATTTCGAATGTCTGATTTTGCACCTGATTTGAAAATAGGTACCAAATAAGATGATTTCCAAATTTCAGGGAATTTTCCATTTTTCAGAGACATGTTGAAAAGACGCTCTAGAGGAAATGCGAGTTCTTCAGAAAGGTTTTTCAAAAATATGGGTGCGATGCCGTCAGGTCCAGACCCTTTCGACGCGTTTAAGTTTTTTAGTGCATTGAGGACTTCATGTTGAGAAAGTTGGTTGACAGAGATGTTTTTAGAAATTTCAGGAATGAATGCAAAGAAATCGCGGTCACGATCTTCTTCGGAAAATGTGGTGTATACTTCTTGGAAGAAATTTGCAAAGAGACTGCAAATTTCAGAAGAATTCTCACCTACATTTGCATCCAAATTCATTCGCGAAGGAAAATTGCTGCTTTTTAATTTCGTGTTTACATAATTAAAAAAGTTCTTAGGACATGATTTGACTTCATTTTCGACTTTGCGGTTATAGTCCTCATATGCAGAGTTAGTGGCTGTATGTAATTGGTTGCATAAGTTGTGATAGTTTCGCAAATTGGTTTCAGTTTTTTCTTTTTTGTATAGTTTATGAGCTTTCTGTTTTTTATTCTTCAAATTTTTCAGTTGTGGATTGAACCATGCGGGTAGTTTATTGTTTTGTGTTCGTCTTCTTTTTTTTGATGGTACAGTTTCTAAGATTAGGTTTTGTAGAATTAAGTGAAATTTTTCTACTTCAGTATCGACATTTCCTTCAATAATATCTTCACAAGTATTCGTCATACAAATTTTGTGTCTTGAGCAAAGTTTCATATTTTTGTAAGTTCTACAACTTTGCTCAAGAAACTAGTCTTCTATCTCTTTTGAAAAAAACGTTAGTTTTTTTTATTTATTTTTTTCATAGTATGCCATGACAAATATTGGTAATTGTCATAATATGCACAATGTTTTTGTAAACAATTCTTCTGAAGACAGTTTTTGGATTAGGTCAGCGGTTTGGTAACAAAATAATTAAGTTCACTAAATTGGCATCTCCGACCACTGTGCGCGGGTGTCAGCGAATCTATTGCGCAGCCTGAAAGAAGTTTAAAGTGCAACGATTGCCTGACAGACTGAGAAGGTGGTGCATCGAAGTCGGGTGCATCATTCAACGAGTCGTCCGTCAGTAAGAGCAGTCGAGTTTCGCAAAGATTGCAGCTCAGCCTTCAACTTCTTGAGGAGGAACGGGAGCTGTGGAAGAAACGTGCGGAAGAAGAAAAAATGATTGGGCCAAGCTGAAGGAAATCGACGAAGAACAGGAGTACTTGAGGCAGAAATACGAGTTGATGATGCAGATTGGAGAAGAGAAGGATTATTCAAGTAGGAGAAGCGGAGTCAGTGTGAAAAGTAGGCGCAAACAGCTTAAAAAGGAAAAGGAGACAAACTAGTCAAAAGTAGGTAAAAGTGAACTTTCCGTTGGGTACTTTTTTCTTACCGTGTATGCTTACGGATGAACGGCAATACACGCTTTTCAGGCATTGTTAGATGTAAACTAGGGACGTCATCGCCGAGGATGTGACGAATGGTTCCGCTTTCAGGCCACAACTGCAAATCGCTTGCCAAAGCATGGCTTTTTTTTCACGAACTTGTCGGAAAACACGAACTTGAATCTTCCCAGCACATCCCCACGTTAAGTTGAGATGTAAAACTTTTGACCGGGAACCTGCTTAAAATTGAGTTTGCCGTATGTTTCGTCATTTATCAATGCAGCCCTTATGTTCCATCAAAACACGGTCGTACAAGAGCCTTGCACGCTTTTTGACCACGGAATTCTGCTCCATGTGCCGGTTTTGGATATTTACTGGATTTGTACGACTAGTATCCTTCTTTGAAAGTAGGCGTTGTACCTTCTGGCCACATTTAGGATCGCAAGACCAGGGTTAGCTTTAACGCACCTCAACACCTTGCTGCACAGCTGACGTTCCCTGGTTCCAGTTCTTTCGTAGGTCCGCTAATTCATTTTCACACTCAGGGTTTCCTTGTAGGTTTTGAGCACTCGACAAACTGTTGTTTTCGGCATCTTCAACACTTTAGCCACACACTCTTAGAAAAAATCATGTAAATTTAGGTGCTCTGAGTGTGACATATACGAGCATCAATTTTGACATAAATTTGAGTTATACCAGACGCGAAATGTAGCTCAAACGTACTTTTTGTCGAGCAACGAACTTTTCAGTCTCGGAGCACTTAATATTACATGGCATGTTTGTTTACGTCTCATCTTTTATGTCAAAGACGAATTTTGTCACTTGTAAAATCACTTATTTCTTAGTGTGCAGCTTGGAATCGGACCACTCCGAATTTTCCAGGTGTTTGTGCACAATATTTTTCCTTTTTTAGAGTTTTATTTGACGTTATTTCTGAACGCGATCGACTACTTTGATCAATCTTTCAGTCTAGGAGCACTTAATTTAACATGACATGTTTGTTAACGTCTCATTCTATATGTCAAATATGGATTCCGTTACGTGAAAAATTAGGTATTTCTAAGTGTGTACGAATGATCGCAGAAAAATGAGATTGCTATGAGCGCTTCTTTTGTTTTGAGAAAAATGAGTGTAAATATTCATACAATGTGCTCTAACAGACTTTGATTTGTAGTTTATGAGCAAATGCATTGAAACAACCGTATGATTGATTTCTGCACGTTCAAATCATTGATGTTATTGATTTTTTCTGCTCGATAGAACGGAAATGGGCGATTACGACGAAATAGCGCTCCATCCTACGATTATAATTAGAATTGAAAAGTCAACCAAATTGGTTGTCCTATTGCAAAGTGGATATCAAGCTTGAAATGCGTTTTTTCGGCTTATTTATTTGTAGAGTATTTGGTACGACTTGACTTGAGTGACGGAGTAGTGCAAATGCCTGTCATTCCCACTGTGAATCATGCTCTGAACGAAGAAACATGATAGCTCCAAATCTCCTGTTCGGAAACTTAATGCCAGACCATCTCGATGGCAACCGACCAATCGTCGGGATCCTAAATTGATAGATTACGCTTCTTCCTCTCTAGACTGCATTCTCTGCCACAATCTTCACGTGACTCACCTCCAACTACCCTCTAAGGGCCACCGCGTCACCGATATCTGTATTTACGCATTGAGGGGGAAAAATCCTCAATTTCTCTTCGGTCGCATTAAATGCACTTATCTGATTTCCCATTTTGTTACGGTCCTTCAACTACTATTTCTCTACCCCTCTCTTCATCTCTGCACAGGTGTACAGCCTATCGACTCCAGCCCGGAGTATCCATAGCAATAGCTCCAATCCGAAAGATAAGCTCCGACGAATTGCCGTCTCGCCGGACACCATCATCTGCCAGCAGCTGGCACAGGAGGGCACCTACGGACGGATATTCTACGGTGTTCTGCACCATCCTCTCGGCGAAACGAGGGACGTCCTAATCAAAACTGTTGTCGGTAAGTCGGACGATTGTTGGTATGCTTCCACCCCCATCATGACCTTTTCCTCCTGCCATGGAATCAAATTCCGTTCGAAATCCTAGCCTCTTGTCGTTTTAATTATTTGCTATTGTGCGGTGCATTCAATTGTGGTGATCCACTTTCCATGTCCGCATCGATTCGAATAGGTAACTAACCATTAATCTTCTCAATTTGCTGCCCATCCTCCCTTGCTACCAAAGCTTTCCGTTTCCTGTTGCCTGCATTGGCTATTCAGATGGAATTCCCATAAAATTTCCCCGCATGGTTTCAGTTTAACAAGTAGCATCCAAATTCCAACGAACCGTTTACATTTCATTCTCTCTGCTTTCAGACGGTGCCTCGCTCAGTCAAGTGGCCTATCTTCTGTCGGAAGGATCAACGCTTTGTGGGGTGTCTCATCCCAACATACTCTTCCCTGTGGCAGCTGTCACCGAGCTTTCGGGCCCACCGAAAGTTGCCTATCCGCTGGCAGCGAAAGGAAATCTCAAACTGTAAGACCCATTTTGCCAGACTTCTTTCTGTTTTCTTTTTTTTTCTTTTTTCTTTCTCCGCATATCGCATGAATCGTGATTTTTGAATCAAAGATTTATTACGACCTCGGGTTTTTCCTCGAATTCGTCCCCATTCGTCAATCACACAAAAACACGGAACGGGGGAAAACGAAACGGCAGCAATGACCTGAATAGAAGAAAACGGGTTTTCCTTCCTTTGAAATGGACGCAACAAAATATCTCTCCTCCAGGCTGTGGGGTAAAGTTTTCTGGCGGAGATTTCCGACAGGGCTTTTTCGGTTTTAAGTTTCATGTTCTAGCATAGATTATACTGCATATGTTGCGCGATGGAGCTGGCAGTAGATCAACGAGAGAAGGGGTTCTGGTAAGGAGACAAAATTATACAGGACAAGTGGCGATATCGAACAAACATTAGCATAGAACAGAAACAGCAGCGAGCACCAGAACTTTAAAATTATGGCAGCAACTTTTGCCGAGCTGGGCCACATGGTAAATGTAGATTGTATCTTGTGGGGGGCTTGACAACATGTGCCGGAATGCACACTTGGAAATAACTATTTTTACACGAGATATAATTATTTTTTTTCGAAAATGAAGTGTTTCGAAACCGAAAAGTACGTTTAATTGAAATTAATTTCTCGTGTCTTTTAACTGATTTTTATGTCAAAAGGGTTGCTTACTTGTGTTGGTCTCAGGGTACCGATATTAACATGACATTTTCGTAGTGTGTGGGTTAGATTGTCTTCTTGTTTGGCAAATGCTTTGTGGTGGAATAAAAAGTTGGTTGGAATTGAAAGCTTCTAAAGGTTTTTTGTTAAATAAAAGAAAAGTTTTGGAGTTGTTGAAATCTTTGGATATTATGCATGTATGTATTGAAGTAGCCACCTGGATCTTGCCCTGCATGTGGCTCCACTCAACAGCAAGATCAAATTTCGTCATCACTTTGAATTCAACATCCTGCTGTATGAAGGGCCAAAAAGGGTTGTACGGGTCCGTACGCAGAGACACTTACGCGAAACCCGTGGGAATAAGAGCATCTCCTTCCAACAATATGGATCCAACGAAACAAATAACGAAACTCGTAATACATGTTAAGCTTTCAACGGGAGGGGTTTGTTTGAGAAGAGCGCGTCAAATCATTCCAACTATTAGAGTGAAATCTAAAATGAAAGTACACTCAGGTCTTTTTTTACACGGGGGATACGTACCGTGTAAAAAAAACCGTGTAAAAAAAACCTACGAGATTTTGATTTTTCGCATGATTAAATGTTTTTAAAAAATCGGATTTTGATGCCATTTGTAATTAAAGCATGATATGGTCCATATAGACATATTTAAAAAAATTCTGTATTTACACCAAAAATTGTGATTTTTGTTTTTTAAGTATGCCATTCGATTACTTATAGCTTGAAACGGATAATGTGATTGGAATCAAGTTGATAGGTTGTATCGTTGTCGAGAAATCGTTAAAAACGTACCGTGTAAATCGTGGAAAACCGTGTAAAAAAAAACCGTGTAAAAAAAACCGTGTAAAAAAAACCGCGTAAAAAAAACCGTGTAAAAAAAGACTTCAGTGTACACATCCCATCCTAGACTCCGGTTGACAATCCACTCCATTGTCCAGTTACAACTTCAATGATCCCGCCCGTCCCAGCATTTCATGAATACTCAGGATAATTTTAAATATAATCATTAGGGTGGGTAACTGTCAAAACGCAAACTCGACCTTATCAAGCGAGAATAACAATTTTTTGGGGCCATTTTTGCAATGGGGTTTGTAGCCCGGTTTTGTTGTAGGAAAACCTACTTTTTTGCATATTTATCCCTAGACCACAAGTTTGCTAGAATGATGCAATAACCATGTGAAAATATAGACAAGGAATTGTCTAACAACCTTTTCGGAGGAAATACGATGCTAGAATGTCTGAAAAGTTATAACTGTTCAAATATTTATAGTTTGAATTAAATGCCAAAACTCACTATTTCTTCCAACACTGCCAGTGTACCAATGGGTGTCAGATTCCAAACTAAAATAATGTTGGAGGTTCTTATCTTATCGATTTGGTATGTGCAGATGAAGTATCCAATCGCTTTATTTCATATGCGTATATGGTGAGCGGGGGGGGGGGTACTTATTGCACCCCCTCCCAACCCTTCTATATCAATGGAACTATAGTTTCAAACTGAAATAACTTTGGAGTTTCTTATCTTATCGATTTGGTATGTTCAGATGAATTATGCAAAAACAATTGCTCAATCTCATAAGCATAATTAGATAAGTGGCTTACTGTATCCTCCCCCCTCTGACATCTCAATTTCATCAATAAAATTAAAGTTACAGACAGAAATAATTTCAGAGTTTCCCATCTTCTCGAATCGGTGTTGGTTATTCAAAACCATTAGCTCAATCCCATACCCGAGCAGAAAATGAAAACAAAATGAAAACTAAATTTGATATTTTGATATAAGCGTTCGTGATAACATATTTTGCCTACCATGTGGTCGAGTTAACAGTAATCGTAACAAAAATGAGATCTAAATGATATATGAAGGATATTAAAAAGATAACAAATCATGTTTTCTTGATATGTATGTATGCGTTTTGATATCAGTAATTTCGTTAATAATAAACAAAATAAGTAATCAATATGTTATTATAACTGTGGTAGGAAAACAAAAAAATAAAAAAAAAACAACATAAGTTATTATTTTTTTTTTTTTTTTTTTTTTTGGTTTTGTTTTTCGTCGATCTTGTTTTCCGTGCTGAGCACCAATGCTACCGACGCCAGGAAGGCAGCTCCCACACCTGGACCCTACCTATCGACCCATCAACTCATGAACCGGGGACCAACGGCTTTACTTCCCTTCCGAAGGAAGACGTGATCAGAGATGTTATGCCTCAGAACATCCCGGCGGCGCCGACTGGGATTGAACCCAGGCCTGCTGGGGTGAGAGGTAATCACGCTTACCACTACACCACCGGCACCGCTCAAGTTATTATTTTGAGATCATGATATCAAATTTAGTAATCTGAATGTTTTGAAATCTATTGGTTGATATAGAGATTCAAAATTAAAAAATCTTATCATTAAGTTTTCATTTATTCAAAATAAAAACAAACCCATATTTCAATCAGTTCTATCGATATCTATCAGTTATATCGATTAGTAAATTAAATTTGCAGGTAGATTAATATCAATAAATTTTGTAGAATGTTGACGACGATAATCGATCAATGTTACTTAGGATCTAATGCAATGCTCAGCTTGAATTGTCTTTGTGATGATCATAAAGAAAATAGCAAGCATGCTGATTGACTCGTAAGAAAAAAAATGGTGGGGTTGTGTACAAGACACGACCGCATGGTTGACGTAGACTACGTTAAGCTGTGTAGTGAAACTCTCGTGCATTTTTCTAGATATTGATTTAAAATACAGTAGAAGTAACATATGATTTCGGTCCTATATACATATTTTGGATTTCCTACTTAGTAAAACTTGGTTAAATTCTAGACCTCATAAAAATGCCAATACATCTATTCCATTTGGTTCCTAAACTACAATCAGATATGAGTAAGGCTTTCTTCAGGTGATTCATTGAAGCGTCCAACAATGACCGTCATGATGGCTGATATTCCCTATCACTTCAAGATTTCTAGGACACAAATCTTGGACGGTTGTGACATCACTCATGAAATTGAAACTCCTTGTGTACTGGATTGCAACAAACGTGAAGTTCCAGTTTCTTTGTTATAAGTTTTGTGAGAGCTGATATCTGTAGATACTCTTGAAATTTTTCTATGGTAATGAGATTGATCCTCAGCGATTCAACTTCAAAACGCTAAAAATAAATGCACACACAAAAACGGAGTGCACAATTTTGCACCAACATGATGCAACATTTCATAGTTGATAGGGATGATATCAATTAGCCATGAATCCCTCAAAAAAGTTCTCGGTACATCTTTTATCTACCGATTGAACAAATAAAAAAAATAATAAGGCTGTGTTCCATTTGGAAAATTTTCACTTAGATGTAACACTTCGAAAATAAATTCAGATGTTTGAAAATCCCTCTGTTGTTGATCGGCCGATTTTCGAGAAAGCGTCTGTAAAAATTGATTCCTTGTCGGTCAAAAGCAAGTCTATATAAAAAAAGAATAGACAGAATAACAGGTTTATTTGAAAATTTTCCATCTGTCAAATTTAAGTAAAAATTCACCAAATGGAACACAGCCTTAATAACTTGAGCACAGAATCGTTTCTTGTTGTGTTTTTCGTATTAGATGCTAAATAAAAACTTCTTTTATCGGTATGTGTGCTGAAAATACCTGGACCACGTGGATTCAAGGAGAAAGTCGACGAAGAAAATCTTGTCAATGTTACTTAGGACCTAATTCAATGTTCAGCTTGAATTGTTTCGCTTAGCTGTAGCAATGTAAACATAAAATCGATGAAGAGAATCGAAATAGGCCCTTTTGAACGCTCACTTTCGAATTTCAGAACCTAGCACTGAAAAAAAAAACTCAACGGTACCTCTATTAATGCTAAGAGATCAGAATTGCAAGTCCCTCCTACTTGAAGAATTATGCAATCGAACGGCTTGCTATGCCTCGCCCCCATCAGCAATAAACTGGGGTTGTATAAATCGTTCTATAGCAAAATTTTCCAAGTAGGAGGGACTTTCATAGCTAATCTAAAAGCATAAATAGAGGTACCGTCTGATAATTTATCACATTTCAAGACCAACAATTGAAATGGCCTTAACTCCATTTTGTAAACAAACCTTGTAAGGCCATTTTCTCGCGAACCGAAGTCCGCAAAGACAAAGCAACATAATGAACAGGCAGGGGAAATTCTCCTCTACCCGATTGTGGTTTAGGTTTGCGAATGAAGGTTTCGGTTCGTGAGAAAATGGCCTTTGGTTTGTTGACAAAATGGAGTTAAGACCATTTCAATTGTTGGTCTTGATTTATCCTT